ATGACGCCGACAAAAAAACGCTCAGTATTCTCGAGGCGATGACTCACCTCGGATCCCACAACGCCTACTAGTTCGCGAGCAAAATCCCGTAATCCCGTTCGCATCGAACGCACGGATATCTCCTTGCTGCGACCAAACTCATAGTGCTTTTCTTGCACTTTAGCTAACCGGTCAACGCTCTGGGCGATGATCTCCACTTTGCATTGGAGATCTACTTGCGGAGTCAATTGTGTTGTTAAGGCAGTCCTCACCTCCGCTAGTTCTTGCATTGCTGCATTCGCCGCCTCCACTCTTCTCTTCTTCTCCCTCGTCACTGCGAGTTTCCACGCCATCCTCTGTTCATCCTCCATCGCCCGCCGCGTCAGAACATCTTCTTCTGCTTCCCGCTTCTTCATGGCGGCTTCTTACTCATCCTTGGGGATGTACATAGCAACCTCTTCCTCCTCACCCAGGGATAAGTTGGCAACCCACTCCGAAATCTTCTTCTCCATCTCATCACTGTTGCTGCCACTGTGCTGCCCACTCTTTTGCAATGGCGGTCCTTCCTCTTCTTCATCCGTTTCCTTCAGCTTCTCTTCTTCTTCCTTTTTCAACCTCTCTTTCTCCCTGGCCATCTCTTCTTCCATCTTCTTTAGTTTTGGCCGCCTGTTCCTCTTTCAAGGCCTTCTTCTTGGCCTCCTTCTCCTTCCTCTCCTGCAGGATGGCGGCCATCTTCTCCTCCTCCTCCTTCGTGTATGGTTRGGTGGCGGTACCACCTCGAGTGGGCCCTACTCTACACGCAAAGGTATGCCAAAATCCCAGAGGAAAGAGGAGACGCCAGAGGGTTCCCCAGAGGGAGAACCCAACCAGCAACCCATACATCGGGTAGTCGTCCATCGTGGTGTTGGTGCACGACAAGGGTCCCACTCCTCACCACGTAGCCCTACCCGAACACACTAACCTACTGAAGGACCACAGGATAAGACCCTGTCAACTATGGCCACTACTAACCCAAGACTACTTTAAGGCTGTCACTACAGAACCAAGAGCTGATCAGGAGGCATTTAAGGAGATCCCCGAAACTCCGCAAGAATTCTTTAACGTCGCAGACAGGACGACGCAATCAGCTTGGTTCCTCTAGCGATTTCAGCCCACACTTCTTCTTCTCGCTCCTTAGTCCCTCCTTTGTCCTCCCTTTCTCTCTCCTCCGGCACTCTATGTCAATGCTCCGCGACTATGGCCGCCGTCTTCCTCCTCCACCAGACTCCACCGCTCGGCTCACAAGTAAGTGACAACCAATCTTGGATCGCTCCTCTCTCTCTCGTAATCTTCTTGTTGCAGGTGCACGGCATCTTCTTCCACCTCGAGGTCCGCTATGGCGGACTGCCTCCTCCGGCGGCACTTCAGCTATGGCCGATCGGCCCTGCTGCCCTGCACACATCACGCGCATGTGACAGCGGGTACCTGCTCCGATACCAGTGCAATCAGACTCGACTTCTTCACACTTGTCATGCATGCAAACAGCGAAACAGCAAACTGGCGACACGCGCCCACACAGTACTCAAAGATATCGTAACCAGGTAGGAGTTCCCTTCAAACTGGCTATGGTGACTGAGCGCCCACACAACTCACTGTTTGCACTCTGGATCACCCTGGATGTCCCACACGCAACACTCTACACGCAACACACACACACACACACTACTATAGCTATGGCAGCTATGGCTGCCACTATCCTATCGCTACGCTACACTTCACTGCCCTCTTCGTCTTCGGGCGCACTGCAGACCTCCTCGCACAAGCTGCCGAGGCAGCGCTTCCGCATGGCATCCGCAGGAAAAAATGAATGGCTGGAAGCAGCCTCTTGATTTATACTTCTGTGCGGCGTTGGTCTGCCCTGTATCCCTTGGCCCACGATGTGCACAGTCCCAGACGGTACTTGCTTGACTGGACCGGACTGGGCTACCTGGGACTGCTGACTCTACGAAGTGGACCTACACCACTTGCCCACTTGCCTCGGCCTAAACAGCGGCCGAC